AGGACTTGTTGGAAAGTATCCCAATAGGTACCCTCGAGTTTCGCCTGTGTAGTCCCATGTACCTCCTACGGTGGTTCCATGTACAGTCCGTTTGAACGGATGGACGGATGGATGGGCATACGTTGTATGGGTGTCGTCGGCACATTGTGCACAATGGCCACTTCAGGGCAAAATAATATGCCAAAAAAAAAAAGAAAAACGTGTGGTTGTAGAGCAAAAAAAAATCTATCACATCTCTTTCTCTTCTTTCTTTTTTTCAGTCCTTGCTTCGATTAAAAAAAAACATTCAAAGACATGGCTTTCCCCAGGGGCTAGACTCAACATGACCTCCCTAAGATGCTTTCCAACACTTCGCAGTTAAGTGCACTTCCAAGCAAAATACAACGAGCGCCCAGAACATAGATACTAAAGATTCAATGACAAGAGGGCGTGGCGGAAGCGGGAGGGCAGACCATACACAGGCACACCAGACAAGGGCAACGCAACAACCAACAAGCAAGGAAAAAAATACAAGTCCCGAACGACAAACAACCGAAAAAAATAAATGGACCCATGATGATAGATTGTTTTGTCGGAGTTTTCATATGATTTTAGTATTGATATGATTTTAGTATTGATGATTGCATGGTGGGAGGCAGTAGCCCTATTGGGAGTAGGGCAGATTGGGGATTGTCTGAGTCTTGGACCGGGGTTGGAGAGCTGGTCGCCTTCATCCCCAGCGGGGGCAGACAGGGACAAGGGGTGGGCAAAGGCAGCCTCTAGGAGGGGATTGGCTGCCTTCGCGGATATGGTGGAGGGAGGGGAGGGGATCTGTTTTATGTTGGGGCCGAGGGATTTTCCTCGGTGGAGGCAGCATGAGACATTGGTTTGAGTTGTGACCAATGGAAGCGTATCCTTTTCACGATCTAATAAAATCGATGCGTCAAAAAAAGATCTGATAATTTCATTACAGTTCAATACTTCGAAACCAGCCACCTGCTGCTCTACAATCTTGGCAGCACCTGGTCTTCTTCTTTATTTGGGATATAGGAATTCAGGGATCGTCGAACCTAGACTGATAACTGTTGAAGTTGCTTTGTTCTGTGCTCCTGGATTGCCGATGCCAGAACAACGCTGGCCGGAGCAGGGGCATAGCCCTGTAACCTGTAATTGGCAGGTGTGGGAGGCCTTGTAGAGAGAGCTGGGGTTTGCTGAGGGAGGAAAGCAAGCCAATGGTGAACCAGAAGGGGCTACCTTGACAACCTATGGGGTGGGGTTAGTCTGGGTAGTGAAGAGAGATCAGCTATGGCAGTGGGGGGATAGGTTTGTCTTGTTCTAGAGTTGCAATATCCTGGTAAGGGAGGGCTTGGAGTTGTTCAGGATTAGGTGTCCAGTATGGCTGACTCAGCATGTGTAGCTACATTTTTTGTCATCACTGGCATCATTAGTATCATCAGCATTAAAATTTTCTATTCTCAGGTTTTTCTCAGCCGAAGCCGGATAATGGCCCCGGTGTTACAAACTGATGTATGTTCATATGGGACGCTGGGCCCGGTTCCCAGCATGTGCTGCTCCCCACGAATAGACTGGAGCTTCTTTCAAAAAAAAAA